AAACAGCCCCTACTCCCTGCCATGACCTCCCATGGTGGTTCACCTGGCCAGGCCCCAGGACCCCCCAGAGCCCAGCCCCTGAGTCACCGTGTGGACTTGTGTCAGGCAGCCCTCTTCTGCCTCTGAAGGGCCCCACCCACCTAGAAGAGCGGGTAGAACTGGGGGCTTGGCAGCAGCCCAGAAGGGGCCATCCTGGGCAACTCTCAGGCAGGCGCCCCGGCTGGGAACTGCCTGCACACTCCAACAGGCCCCAGGCCGCCCTCTCCAGGGAGCAGGCCCCAGTTAAGCCAAACATCCACGGTCCAAAGCCATATTGAACACCTCACTGGAAAACCACAGATAAGCCCCAAATGTCACCCCAACCACCAGCTGGCCGGCACCACCACCAAATACTGGAATTGATCACTGGGAGCTAAACTGACAGCTTTGAGCCTTCCCTCCTCTCACTGCCTTCCCCACCCCCACCCCAGCCACAGGACTGAAGGAGGAGGGAGATCCACCCACTGGGTCGTTCGTTAGGAACTACACTGCTACTCTCCGGTTCTCCTAGGGCCTCCTCTCCCCAACCCCGGGAACCCTTCAGTATCCCCACCCTTTCATTCCCCCCCAAATCAAAGTGGTCCCCTCTGTCTCCAGCCTCTCAAGTCTGCAGGATCAGACACTCAGCAAATATTCTCCAGGAGTAATTGGAAGAGATGGAACAAGGGCTTTTCAGTTCCTGAGTGGAAGTCTCTGGATGTCATTTAATGGCACACAAAAAATAAAAGGCTCCGGCCTCCCGCCCACCACCACCGGGACATCATTAATCTCGGCAGAAAGGCATCAGCGCTTCTATCACTGCAGCCAGCCCCGCAAAGAGCCAGACAAATTACAGGCCCGAGCCTGGCGCTCAGGGGGGCGGTTATTAGGCTGGCGTTCAATTTTTGTTTGTTCTTCAGGGCCACTGTCCCCTGACGAGCAGCAATGGTGCCCCTGCCTAGGGGGAGAGGGTGACCACCTTGGTTAGACACAGCTCACCTGCGTGGGGTGACAGGGTGGCTGCAAGCCAGGCACCCCAGGTCCCAGCAGAGGCTCAGGCAGCTCACATGGCAGCTCGGAGGCGGTAACCCCAAGGCTCAGAACCCCACCCCCTGTTTTCTAGACCACCTGAATAGGGGCCTGCCTCCCAGTGGGGGGTTCGGACCCTCACTTCCTGGGCTGAGAGGGGAGCACTTTAAGGCCTACTGAGGAGCAAATTACAGGTGAGGTGGGGAATGTCCCTCGGCTGGCGCGAAGACTCAGGGAACACTCCTGTGCTGTTGGGAAGTCTTAAGAGTGGGCTTGCTGGAGAGACTCTGGGGTGCTGCTGGGGGTAAGACCTCATCTGTGGCAGTAGAGGGGTATGTTGTGCTGCTGGCCAAGTCACCCTGCGAAGGCCTAGCTTCTTATTAGTCCAGTGTTAATTGTCTTATATACTCATGGAAGTCTGGAGTGGGGCCTGGATAAAACAGCTTCCCCTCATGCCTGGCAGACCCCCAGGAGGCAGCTGTCAGTGCTGCCCAGACCCCAGGGTCTGAGATTACTTCAGCTCAGAGCTTCTACTAGCTAGCACAGGAGCTGTCTACACCAGTCTCCCCAGTCTTACAAGGCAGGGGGCTGCTGGACTAGATGTAGCACCACTTTCGTTGTCTCTTGGATACCTGTGTAACTCTAATAGCCCCAGCTGGGCTGTCCACCCCATGTGACAAACCACACCCAAACAGTGGTAAGCCCAGGCAGATCTGGGGAGATGGGGGTGGAGAGAGTGACTGTCAAGACCTGCCCCAGGGCCATTCCCAAACATTCCAGCCATTGGAGTCCCTGGAACTCGAACTCAGACCATGGTTCTCTGAAAGCCGGGAACCCCTCTTCCAGTTGTTGAAGACAGGGGCCATTCACCCCTCCACCCCCCTGGGTCTAGTAGAGATCAGGCAAACAGTGGTGGCTCAGAGCCCCTGATGGCTTTAGATAAGTTTCCCTAGCTCTCCCCTTGGCCCACTTCTGAAACATCTCTTAACGTCTAACATCTCTTCTCATTGCTAACATCTTCCTTATCAGCATGACCAGCAGGTGAGAGGTTGCCTCTAGGCACAGCCTGAATCTGGCTTTGCAGGATAGGAACAGTGCCCCCTGGAGTTGTGTAGGGACAGACCTGCCCGTCATATGCAGCAGCCCCACCCTGAAGAGACCAGACCTCTCTGTTCCAGTCACTGGGCGGCTCACGAGACAGGCATCGGACACCCTGCTCCTTTCTCCCTCCAGCTGGAGGCATTTGCAGTGCACTCACCACCCTGCCCTGTCCCAGGAAGAGCCCATCCTGGGTGGATCCAAGGTACAAGGGGCGTGGCCAGAGCTCAGACAGCAGCACTGCCCTCTTCCTGCGTGGCAGTGGCCTCGAGACAGCTTAGAGAACCAGCAGTGTCATACAGGATGGGGCTTTCCTCCACGTGGTGACCACGGAAGCACAGCCTCCAAGCTCCCCATCTCTCCCCACACACCCTTGAGGGCCTGAGTCACCCCCCCCCTTCCTTCTAGAACTTGAACAGGGTCAGTTCCTCTTGCCCTGTGTGGCAGGAAACGGGGGTGTAAGGCGTCTCAGCCAAGCCAAGGGGAGGAGGCGGCAGGAGGCTAGGAGCCGGTGGCGTTGTCCCCGCTCTCCTGAGGGATACAGAGGCTGGTCTGAGGAGCTGCCCAAGAAGCCCAAGAACCACAAGGTTGTCGGAAATGGGACCAGGAAGGAGCTGTGAGGCCCCCAAGGCCCTCCGAGGCCCTTCATCAAGAGAAGTCATCTGAGCTAGGGGAGGGTACACTGCTGGAGAGGGGAGTGAGGTTTCCCTCAGGGCGCAGGGGATTTCTTTCCACCACTTGCTCTGATCTTGTGATGAGTTTCAATTCCCTCCTTGCCACGGGGCTCCTTCCTGCCCTACTCGGTGGGGAAGGCCCCCTTGTCCCCATGCCTGCCACACACCAGTTCACCCAGAGCCCTTCCTCTGGCGTGCACATGCACACACATGTGCATGCACACATGCAAGCACCCACACATGCACACACATACAAGCATCCACACATGTGCACACACGTGTGCATGCATGTGCACACACTTTCCCAGACTCGTGAAACCACAATTCTTTGCCAGCCAGCCAGCCTCGCTGAGTGCAGAGGATATGGCCAGGCCTCCCAGTGGGAAACCCCACAGCGTCAGTCCCACACCTCTCAGCCCAGCAGCAGCCTATCAAACAGGAGAGGCTTTCTCAGCCCATCCACCGTTCCTCCAGGAGAACTCCTGAAATCCCTGTTTGACATCCCAATCTGAGCATGCAGTCACCAAGCTAGATAGGATTTGAGGGAACCTGCAGAGGCCCTTTTCCCCAGCACTTACCTAAGAAGCAACCTCACCAGAACCCCATCTGTGCACTGGGGATAAAAATAGTCTCACTTTGTGAGGATTAGCTGAATGAATATGTGTGGAGTTCCTAAAACCATGCCTGGCACACAGGAAGCACTACACCATATCAGTGTGTTACTGCTATTATTATTTTTTTGCATTATCATTATTATTTTGTTTCTTTGGATTAAAAATTGTCCTCCCTTGAGAACATATTTGGCATGCAAACAGCCCCTGAGAGGAGGGATGTTAAATGGAGTACAAGAGACTCAATGGACCTGCTTTCTTCCTTGTTAAAAAGGGTGGTGGGTGTAGACAGAGGACCACAGGCAGGTAAATGGGCAGCTCTGAGAAGACTTCCAGGCTGCCAGCTGCTCGCCCTGTTTTCTTTGTAGATTACTGTCCTCCATCGGTCCAGGCCGTAGGGCCACTGCCTATCTCTGCTCCAGACAAGGTCTTCCCTGAGCACTCCCTCCAGCCAGGGGCAGTTGCTAGATTTAGCAAACCAAAAAAAAAAAAGTGAGAGAGAGAGAGAGAGACAGAGACAGAGAACAGGAGGCCCAGTTACATTTGAATTTCAGATAAACAAGGAATCAGTTTTTAGTATAAGTATGCTCCATGAAATACGTGGAACATGCTTACACTAACAAATTATTTGTTGTTTATCTGAAATTCCAATTGAACTGGGCGTCCTGTATTTTATCTGGCAACTGTCCACCGAGGGTGCCTGAGGCCCAAGGTTTGGGAAACAAGAGCGTGGGAATGTGCCTCTGACCACTTCCCGCAGCTTCTCCCCAGTGCCGGGGGCTGTGCCCTCCTTGCCCTGCAAACTAGACCTGTTCACACTTGCCCAAGAAGATGCAACTCCCTCGATGCCCCTGTGTTTTCTCCCCTTAGGGAGGCCCCTCTCACCTGGGCACCAACTGGAATTCTCCATGTCCCAGCCGGGGGATATCTTACCCACAATTGGCTCCCCCTTAGGATCCAGGTGCTTAAGGGTGGGGGAAGGGGCCCTGGCCATATGCCTTGCCCCTTGACCTCTGCCACCAGGAAGGAACCCTGTTGCACAGGGCCTCTCAGGTGGTGGTTGGGGTTCTGAGGAGGAGATTGAATGAATGGCACAGGCACTTCTGCCAATCTCAGCCCCAGCAGCTGGGGTGAGCAGGTGTGAAGAAAGGAAACATGAAGGCCTCAGTCATGGGGTCAGGAGAGCCTGCAGGAATAGAGGGGTGGGTGGAGGAAGTGGGCAGACCACCTGATTGGGCATTTCCTTTCTGCATATGAATGAGAAGGCAGAGTTATGCTAAATAAAGGACACTGGGGAGGAGGACCAAAAGCCAAGCTTGACTCAGTCCAGACTCTTAGTCCCCATTGTCTTATGGGGAGCAGCCCCTTCCCAGGTGCTCTGCTAACATCTAGGGGTGTCCCTGCAGCTAGGAGCCAGAGGCAACCCCAGGTACTCTGTCCCCTTCAGCCCAGTGGCAAAGGCCATCCCCTGCTGTCCCCACTTCCCCAGAGCTGGCAGCTCTCATCCCTGCCAGCTCTCAAGTCCACTGTCCTCTCTCACTGCCTCCCTGTGGTCTGTTTGTCCTTCCAGCCTCTTGGAAAATGGACAGATTTCTGAACCGCTACGACCTGAACGAACCTGAAGCAAGCACCCAGTACATGACCCAAAATTACCAGGACTCTCCAAATTTCCAGGCTCCAGGAGGAAGAAGCAGTGAGCCCAAGGAGAGGCCCAAGCAAAGATAACTCCCTGCCAGACCTCAGGCTTTGCCTTGCGGGTTGTGGGTCCATGTTGCCCACCATCCACAGCCTGAGTATGGAGCCCCCTCTGGGTATGGAACGCCTTCTCTTTCAAATTAAAAAATAAAACATTATCCAGCGCTCACCCGTTGGATGTTTTGTGTCCTAGCCTGTCCTCCTTCAAATACAGATGAGAGGAAATTAATCGATGTCAAGAACTGGGGACAGTAAATGCAACTTAGGAGGGAGGGGTTGTGGAGTGGGATAGATGGACAGGCAGGAGGCAGAGCTCCCTGGCCATGAACTGTCGCTGAGGCACTGTGTGACTTTGAGCAAATCACTCACCCTCTCTAAAGTTCTGCTTCCCCAGTTGCGAAATTGAGGTAGAAAGAAAAGGTGTAGGGGCAGCTGGTGTATCACCCACCATGGGCCTTTCCAGCTGTGCCATTCAACACCATTCATTTAGTTATTGTCGTCACCTACTGTGTGCCTGGCCTTCTGCTAGGTAGGTGCTGGTGATCCATGTGTGAACAGGTAGGACAAAACAGGGGGCTTGCTTCATGGAGCTTACAGTCCAGTAGGGAAGGGGAAGATTCGTCAGATGACCACAAGCAAATTACAGCAAACGTGACAAGTGCTCTGAGGGTGCAAAGAGGACCGGCTTTATGATGGATGGGGAGGGTGTCGGCAAGGCCTCTCAGAGGAAGCGATGCTTAACTTCAGGGCTGAAAGGCACTGCGAATGGGGACGGGTGGAGAGTATGCCAAAAAGAGGGAACACCTCCAAGCTCCGGTGGCTAGCAGGGGCATGCGTGGCATCTTCCAGGAAATGAAAGGCCAGGCATAGGGCCACCTGGACAGGGGGGCAAAGACCAGAGCAATCCAGGCTTTGCAACTATACTAAAGTTTTGGATTATACCCTGAAAGCAATGAGAAATCATGGACTGATAAGTAGATTGAAGGGAGAGCGGGAGCATAATCTGATTGATGCTTTGAGAAAGCTAGAAAGAAACTCCTTGGTGTCTGCAAGGAAAGGAGTTTCAGTGTCTGCCTCCCCTGTATGTCCTCTGAATGTCTCATGGGAAACACCAAGGACTCCTTGGAGGCACCTCTTTGCTACCGTCCAATGCACAGCCTAAACCCTGGTTCCTTAATTCCCCCACCCTCAACTCCAGTCCTCTCAGCCCCACCCCACCCCCAACCCCAACCTCCACTCAGTTTCCCTCCAAGAGTTAATGACCCCTCTCTCTTTGGCTAGAATACAGCAATGCTGGTGACTCATGTGTGCAAAGTGCCTTGAGATCCCCAGATGAAAGGGGCAGGCTGCAGCCGGGCACCGCGTTATTACCTTCTTAGAGCCAGGCCCCACATTAGCTGGAAGGCAGAGGGGCCTTGGCCAATCCCTCAGCCCAGCTGAGCACACTCTTAACTAGTTGGAAGATTTTCATGGTGGGGTCTGAAGAATGCGATGAGCTGGGAGGCTGTCTGTGTGACTGGGGAGGAAATTGGAGCACGCTTCCCCTGTCCATTGCTAGATTCGGCTCCCTGCCTAGGTGATGGATGCCAAGTTCTTGTTCTGGAAAAGGGCCGACTACCAACCCAGGTAGTAGGAACTCCCCATTCCCTTCGGCCCCACCAGAAGTTTGCCAACAGAGCTAAAAGAAGAAACAAAAGTGTCCATTTGCAACATTGTGTCAGGGAGCCTCAGAAGGGACTTTCTGGGTGTATGTGAACCTCACACTCCCCGCAGCCCCCACCCCACCAGGCCCAGAGTGTAATTGGCAGCTCCGGTTGGAGCCCAAGGCTGGGATAAATAGCAGGTCAGCTTCCTAGAGCAGCCCCAGATCGAGACACATCCTCCCCTCTTCTGCTTTTAATTCCTTGTGGCTAGCATGTTTATTTTGGGTGAGGGAAAAAAAAATCGGATGTTTATCCTTCGAGGAAATTATCGGCTTGCTTTCCTTCCTTTTTTTCCCCCCTCCTTTCTTTTCCCCTGGTGTTTTGGGCTTTTAGTTCAGCTACAGGATAGAGACCCCCACCCTCCTGGGCCCAGAACGTGAAAAAAGAACAAAGCTGGCCCAGGCTCCAGGCTGAAGCTAGCCCTGCCAGACAGTCCCTGGAAGCCACAGACAAGGAGGTCCCAGTGGCAGGGAGGGGAAACGTGGAGGCCCAGAGACCTTAGGGAAACCCACCCTTGACTCAGCTGTCTGCCTGCACAACACTTTGGGGCTATTGTCCTTTTTCTTTTCGCTGCCTCCTCCAAGAAGAAACAAAATGAGCATGTAGATCTCTCGTGAAGCAGCTAAGAAAAATAATAAGGGACCATTAGTGACCCCTCTGCAGGGATAAGGAGAAACGATGCTATCATCATCACCAACATGATCGGATACCATTTGTTGAGTACCTTCTGCATACCAGGCACTGTGCCAAATGCCTAACATGTGGCATCTCATTTAATGCATTCCTGCATTATGGTTTCCTAGCCCACCGGAGCCCTTCATACATATGATCTCACTCGATTGTCACAATCTAACAATGTAGGTGGTGGTGTTCTCATTTTATAGATGAGGAAACTGGCATTCCGATAAGCTAAGGAACCTACTCCCTGGTCTGTAACTAGTAATGATGGCATCTGGTGTTAACTCGAGCCTTGTCACTCACGAGTCAGAAGCCAACGGTAATCTAATTTTACACTCTGGGCTACATAAAATAAAGGCCAGCTCCTCCATTTATTCAGAAGCTGGGTGGGCCAAGAGGGAAGGCTGGAAATTCCAGAAGAATTTAAACCGGGGGTCTCCCCCAAGTGTCTTCCCTTCCCCCAGCTTCAGCTATTGTCAAGCAAGTATGACTTGTGGGGAGAGCCAGCTCCTGGACACTCACCACAACGGCCTGGCCTGACGCAAGGTCATTACCACCACCTCCCGGCCCCACCTGCCCAGAGCAACTACCCCAACAGTTTACCATCCTCAATCCACTGACTCACCCACTCCCTCCTGAAACTGCCTGTGTGATAACTGCTCTTAGGGAAGGAAGAATGGTAGAAAGGAGGGGGAGCAATATACATAAGAAGACTTCCTGATGGTGGTGGCAGTAGTGGTGGTGATGAAGATGACGGTGATGATGGCGTTGGTGGGTCCAGGTGCGGGGCTGAGAAGCCCTGGCATAGGAAGAAAGCCTGGTGTATATATTAGGGGGTGTAGTTTTAAAAGGACAACTTTTCTTAGCTAGCAGACCTAAATTCACACAGAGAGCCCTGTAACCTAGGGCAGCTTACTCACCAGTCCTGGACCTGTGTTTCAACTGCAAAAATTGTAAAACAAAACAAAACAACACAAACAAAGAAAGTAAGCGCCTTCCTTAAAGATCTGTTGTAATGGTTAAATGAGATAGCACAGAAGGCACCCAGGCACAATGCCTGGCATGCAGGCTGCTCAGCAAATGCAGGTTTTCCTCTCCTTTCCTGCCTTTACCTCACCTGCTCTGCTCCCCAGCTCCTTAATGGGAAAGACTCACTTTCCCCAGATGAGAGGTCTTTCCAAGAGACCCATCAAAGAACCAACTTGGAGGAGCCTCAAGCCCCAGCCCAGCATCCCTCTCCCAAGCTGAGCAAAACACTGGGTGGCTTGGATCAGGAGAGACAACCCAGTTCCTTAGCAACTAACAAGCATTTCCCTGTAAAGACAAAGACCCTTCACTCAGAATGCTTCCTCCCCCACCCCCCTCGCCTCTCCAGGTGTCTGATCACTGTGCTCCAATGGGGCTAGAGGCTGCCCACCCCCCAGAAGTCTAGGGGCCTCTTACCCCACCCTCCCGGCAGTCCTGACATTACCTGTAATTATCCCACAACACCTTTCATCCTGGTGCTAATTACCTTTCCCATTTACCCCCAGGGGCTGCTGGGACACGTGAGATATACATACACACTCACACATACACACGCATGCACACACACACAGATGCCCTCAAACCCTTCTGAGACCCCCGCTCCATTTTAGAGACCAGGAAACTAAGGTTAAAACAAAGGAGCCATTCTTTGAGGGTTTCCACTGAGAAACAGGAGCTGGTTTAGGGAGAGGGAAGGATGAGGCCCCTGAGTATCCTGGGGGATGAGGGACCACGAAGGAGAAGAGCCTTTTGTGGAAAACCTTGCCAGGACAGGGGTCGTGGCTCTGAATGCTGCTTTGGTGCCACCAGATAGGTAGATGCAAGCCGTCCTGCTTAACACAGAGAGGACATTTCAAAGGGAAAGAGGGAAAGATTTCAATAGAAAAGGAAAGGAAGAGAAAGAGTCTCAAAGAGAAGGAACTAGAAAAAGAACGACGTGGCCGTCTGGTCTGATGGAGCTGAAAGAACCACTGACCAGGCGTCGAGACCGGATTTCGTACCAGTGCTACCATTCACTGCTGTGTGAGCCTGGGCAAGTCAGCTGCCCTCTCTGGGCCTGAGCTTCCTCATCTATAAATGTATAGTTTGGTATGGGTATTCCTTGAGGCCCCATTCTAGCTGAATGTTCTGCAATTCTGTGTGGTTATTTAGGGGAATGGTAGAAAAAGCCACTGCTACTGTCCCTTTGCTTGCGAGGTGAAGGGAAGCCACCAGAACAGGGTAGAATGAGCATTCTTGGGATTAAGAATGAAAAAGAGCCAAGTGCATTTGGGTGCGGGAGCCAGAAAACCCACCAGGAGGCCCAAGTTAAAGAAGAGTTTGCCCACGTGGGAGCTGGAGAACTTGGGATTTCGGAGGAACGCGTTCCCAGAAGCAGCCGCCAGCGAGAGAGCGCATCCTCCCCAGGCCCAGGAAAACCATTCCCGGGACCGAGCGCATCCTCCCCAGGCCCAGGAAAACCATTCCCGGGACCCGGTGGAGGGAGGTTCCAGGAGCACACAGGCCCTGTCTCTGCACTTAGGGACAGAGGGCAGAAATGTGGCTCAGGAGCGGGGTACAGCATAGAGGTGCCCCCTTTTTTCCTCATGAGCTGGAGGCCATACCCACTGGCATTAGTCAGCTGGGCAGGGAGCAGAGGGTTCAAAGCAAAGAGGCTGAGCCTGTCAGAAAGGCAGGTGCAGCAAGGCGCCGAGTTCCAACTTTCATTTCCATTCTCAGGAAGAAAGCAGACAGCGGGCTGAGTGGGTTTCCCTTAGGGCCT